AGTAGTGCCCAGCTATTGGTAAGCAGTAGAGAAACATTCCTGCCCCAAACACCCAGCTAGTGGCTGTGTGGACTCTAACCCAGGTCTTTCTAACTACACAGTCTATGCTGCTCAGCTCACCCTTCAGCCCTGGAATCAGACCCTGGTTTTAAGTCTCTAATAACCTCTTGTTGTCCCGGGGGAGGGGGGGAACCACTCCTGTCCCACGGAGCCCACCAGAGGGAATCCATAGAATGGCAGAAACGCAATTGTGAGGGTTCTCTGGAGACACTAGGACAGTACCCTTGGCTGATATACTGCCCAGAGCAAAGCTTGTTTGCCTGATATATATTGAGCTGTTGAGTTTACGAGTCAGCGCCCAGCTTTCTCAGCGGCTGTCAGCTTGGGGAGGACGGCCGTCCCTCATCTGCTCTGTCTCAGCAGCCTGCCCTTCTCTGAGAAATGAGGGGCTTAGGCAGGCTTACCACAGCCTTTTCTACTGCCCTCCATTTCCTCCTCCACCCCACCTAGGCTCCCGATCAGCAAGTCCAGGTCCCTTTGAGCCAAGAGGATGGCATTTCCTGGGAGCACATCTCAAGCAGGAAGTTTATCCCACCAGGGCACAGCCAGCTTTGCCCCAGGAAGAGTGGTGAGATCCAAGCTGGTCTTTTTGGAGGAAGGAAGAAGGTTCTGAGAAATACTGTCTGCCTTTGTTTATAGGTCTGGGGGCTGGGGCAAAGCATTCACCAGTTTAGAATCTGAAACTTTCTTCTTCTGGTACTGGGGACTGAACCAGAGCCTAACACGTGCTAGACAAACACTCTACTGCTGAGCTATAGCTCCAGCTTAGAAGACCAGGGTTTCTTGAGAGAAAATTCTAGAATTGCCTTAGCATCTTGTTGCTACCGTAGGCACCCCCACTTTCTCTCTGCTTCTTATTCCTCTCGTATTAAGAGTTCTCTCGTGAAACAAAGCTCCTGGATATATATTCTCTGTGGATTTTTTTTTCTCCTATAAAACAGGGCTGCTCACGAGCTTCTGTTGCAAGGTTGATGTGAGGCCGGCAGAGATGGATAAATCCTCATAGCATGGTGGAACCAGACCTAATTACGATGTTATAATTATCTTAACGAGTGTCAGAGATCCTAGCTAAGCTAGCCAGACTTTGGCTTCGCCCCACGCATGTGATTTTGCCCCCTCATTGAGCATCTAAGCCGTCACCAGTCTCCTAGTTTCGAATGGAGTTTCCAAGTCATAGAAAAAAGCCTTGGGACGCTGGATAACAGGCATGCGATGGGATATCGGAAAGGTAGAACCAGGTCTTCAGACAGTGGTACCTAGGAGTGCCTGTGGCCTTCCCTTTGCTTCCTGTTCTTTCCCACGAGCTGGACTCGTGAAAGACGGATACCCACACTCCAGCAGCAGCAGCAGCAGAGTGGAACTACTTATCTCAAAACATCTCAGTTTTGAACTTCTGCCCAAATCTTTCAACCCCAACGTGAGAGGATTCTAAGGGCTCTGAGCTGCTTGCGGACCAGAGCTGAACCAGGGAAGCAAAACACAGCGAGTCAGGGAGAAAAAGCTGATTAGCTCCTAATTGCCGTTAAATTATATATATATATACATATATGTATTTTAAGTAGAATCTGCATGTCTAATGTGATTTTTTTGATTACATTTTAATAGTCTAGCTGGGATGAGGGAATGAAGAAGGAAGGAGCCTATCATCCCTAGCTAGGAAAAAAGTTGCAAGCGGAAAGCTTTGGCCTCCTGCCTGGGCACTGCATGAAGGATAAGTAGGGGCCTGGGTAGGTGTCAACACCATCTCCCACCAAAAGTCCTTTCCCTGTAGACTTCAAACACAGCTTCTCTATTTTTAATGTGCTTATCATCTTCAGACCTGTTTGTCCCCTGGGGTTCCCCCCTCAAAAAAAAAAAAAAAAAAAAAAAAAAACAACTCCAGAATCTGGTGGCAAGATAGAAAACTTCCAGGCAAGAATCCTGGCCCCATACTGCTGGAATGACCTTGGGTGTCATGACTCTCCTCAGTACAGCTCAGTTTCCCCATATGGGCAGCGCGACTGCTGTATTTGATAGATTTTGTTTTGTTTTTTGGAGACACAATTTTACATAGCCCAAGCTGGTCTCACATTTGCAATGAGCTGAGGATGAACTTTAAGCTCCTGGTCCTCTTTCCTGCCTCCATCTCCTGAGTGCTGAGGTTAGAGGTATGTAACACCATGTGTGGTGTACTACGGATGCTGGGGGATGGAAGCAGGGAATCATGGGTGCTAGGTAAGCTCTCTACCACTGAGCCACACCCCCAGTTCCTTTGCTAAGGTTTGTGGGTGGTGATTTACTTCCCTTTCCTCTTAAGAATGTTCCCCCTACCTCAAGGGACTGAGAGTGTCCACGCATATTTCCCCCTCCCCCCAGCCCAGCGTACTGCCTTCTCACTGTTGTATCCTGGCTCCTTGGTTTGCTTCTTGGAGGCCAGCACTCTCCCCTACCCCCAACACCAAGCACATCATGATTCTTCGAAGAGGTAAAGACAGCTGATAAAATATGCATGCCAACACACACACACACACACACACACACACAATCTAAATAGCATTTATTTCTGATTCCAAAAGTAAGACTGTACCTGATCTTTGCAGAAAATTTGGAAACAGACAAGCATAAAAGAGAAAATTAAAATCACCCACAATCCTCCGAAACAGTGATAGCTATTCTCAATGAGTTGTAATTAAAATATATATGTATGGGCTTCCTTTCCCACCCCCTGGTTATAAAAGTGGGGTTTTGCTTTGGATATGGCTTTGAGTCACAGTAAGACTGACCTTGATTGTGTCAGCCAGAGAGGTATGGTAGTTCATGACTGCTGTTCCAGCACTTGGGAAGTAGAGGCAGGAGGATCAGGATTTCAAAGTCATCCTCAGCTATATAAAAAATTTGAGGCAAGCTTAGGCTACACCATACCCAGTCTCAAAAACCATAAGGGCAGAGCTGCAGAGCTCAGTAGTGGAGAGCACTTACTGCTCTTTCAGAGGACCTAGGATCAGTTCACAGCACCCACATCAGGAGTTCACAACTGCCTGTATCTCAATGTCCAGGGGAGCCAACACCATTTGACCTCTGTGGGCAGCTGATACACATAGACTCTCTCTCTCTCTCTCTCTCTCTCTCTCTCTCTCTCTCACACACACACACACACACACACACACACACACACACACACTGACCTGAATACAAGCAGAAAGAGTGTTGGTGAGATGGGGTAGGAGGTAAAGGTAAGCCTGTAAGCTGAGTTCAGTCCCTGGGACACACATGGTGGAAGGAGAGGACTGACTGTCAAGGTGTCCTCTAAATGCCATGTGTACACCATGGGTGGGTTTCTCACACCTACACAAAGTGGAAACACCATGGATGGGTACACGCACACCTACAGAAAGTGGGGAAGAGGAGAGAATAGAATGTAATAAAAAGGTGGGAAGGTAGAGGGGGAAGGAGGGAGGGAGAGAACTTGTTACGTCATTTCCTTCTTTGCTCCTCATTAAGGGACAATTCTCTTGATTTTTTTTCCCTCTTCTTTCAAGTCTTGGACTGATTTTCCTCAGTCGTTTTTTCTACTGTGTCTGTCTCTCCTCTACCCCACCTCCCATTATCCCACTCTCCTGCCTCACTCTCTTCCCTTGTCTATGGCCTCACTCCTCCCTCCATTTTCTTTTTCTCTGACTGACAGCACTCTCTTGTTCCTGGGTTGCCCAGCTAATTGAAGGGAAATGCTCCAGACAATGCCAGTGGAAAGTGTGACATCCTCAACCCAGCTGCCTCTTCCCTCTCTGCCTGGTGTCTAACTGGATTAGGAGTCTCCCTCCATCAAGGGTCTGGCTATCCCAGGGATACCGAAGGTGGCCTTTGGGCTACCCTGTGGGAATCCTCACATCTCCCTGAGAGAGCCTAGCCCCTGCCTGTGCTCAGAGGGCTGCAGTTGCTGGAGTCGCATATTAAGTGTTCTAAGCTTAAGAACAGTGGCTGCAACTGCTGCCTTCAGGAAAGAACTGAGGTTGTACTGAGGGCTCTGTGGCAGACACCTAGCCTTGGCACAGTCCCCTGGGCAATGGCTGAGAGTGTTACATTTCCAAAGGGGAACAAAGGAATCTAATTGGCAGACAGATGATGCTTAACTTACTACACAGACCGCAGAGTACTTCCACTTCTGGCCCCACAATCCTGTGATGCAGGAATGGCTGCCTCCATTTTATCGAGGGTAACTCTGAAGTTCAGGGTGGCTTCGAGTCTTGCCAATGTTCCAGTTGCCAAAACCCAAACCAGGGCCTGTCTGATTCCAGAGACCACTTCCTCTCTCTCTACTCTGACAAACTCCTGAAGGTGCTTTACAGTTGTTCATTGTACACAAGCAGTTGCTATGGAGCCACATTTAGCATCTTACAGAGCAGCCTTGAGTTCTAAAGTGAGGCAGAGGAATGCAGTAAAGATGGGGAAAAAAAAACTCACAAAGCTAGAAGTCTTGCTGGCCTTTTCCCACCAGAAGAAATGTCTTTTCTGTTGCAATTGGCTTACAGGTATGTTCCCTTATAAAAAAAATATGCATATGACTATTTTGTCGGCACGCATGTATGTGCACACATGTGTACCTGGTGTCCCCTAGGGTCTGATCCCCCTGGAACTAGAGCTACAGGCAATCGTGAGCGGCCATGTGGGTGCTGGAAATTGAACCTGGGTCCCCTGAAGGGGCAACCAGTGCTCTTAGCCGCTGAATCATCTCTCCAGCTCCAGTTCTCCCGTTTCTTTGGTTTTGAAAGACAAAATCACCTTGCTGGGTTTAATGAGAAAGAACAATGCGGTTTTCCTGGTAGGAACACATGTTGTTGGGTTCCCTAGAGCCTGGTGAACGTATGACGCAACTCCATGGTAGAACTGTTGTCTGCTTGTGGTACCCAGGCTGGGCGAAGCCTCCCTTTCAAGGCTGCTGATCAGTCCCTCTCCCCTAGGGTATGGACTCGGAGGATGACCCTCTGCTGCAGGATGTGTGGCTAGAAGAGGAACAGCAGGAAGAGGAGACTTCGGATGAGGCCTGCAGGGATGTCCCCGGGCCAGGGCTGCACTCCGGAGCACAGGGTTGCTGGCGATGCTGGACACTTCCCTCCAGGCCCGCGACCTTGGGTTTCTGGAGCACCCTGGGCTGGGCCTTCACCAACCCGTGCTGCGCAGGGCTGGTGCTGTTCCTTGGCTGCAGCATCCCCATGGTGCTGTCCGCCTTCATGTTCCTCTATTACCCTCCCCTGGACATCGACATCTCCTACAACGCCTTTGAGATCCGCAACCACGAGGCGTCACAGCGCTTCGACGCCCTGGCCTTGGCCCTCAAGTCCCAGTTTGGATCTTGGGGGCGCAACAGGCGCGACCTGGCGGACTTCACCTCTGAGACGCTGCAACGCCTCATCTCAGAGCAGCTTCAGCAGCTGCACCTGGGGAATCATTCTCGACCTGCATCCCGAGCTCCTCGCTCAGCGCCCAGGGACACTCCTGCCACTCAGAGATCAGCAGCCAGTCCCAGTGAGCGACGTCGCCGAGAGGCTCCGTCCCCGGAGGGTCAGGTAGCCAATCAGAGTCGGGCCCGTCGGGGCGCCTCGCGCTGGGATTACTCGCGCACCTATGTGAGCGCCAACACCCAGACGCACGCACATTGGCGAATCGAGCTCATCTTTCTGGCGCGCGGAGACGCGGAGCGCAACATTTTCACGAGCGAGCGTCTGGTCACGATCCACGAGATCGAGCGTAAAATCATGGACCACCCGGGTTTCCGGGAGTTCTGCTGGAAGCCGCACGAGGTGCTCAAGGACCTGCCGCTCGGCTCCTATTCCTACTGCTCCCCGCCTAGTTCACTCATGACTTACTTTTTCCCCACCGAGAGGGGCGGCAAGATCTACTACGACGGCATGGGCCAGGACCTGGCGGATATCCGGGGTGAGCAGCAGGCGCACTGGTGGAATGGGGCTATGCTGAGCTAGGGCGTGGCCAGCAGCAAGGTGTCTGTGGGATATGCGGCTGGGATTGGCTATGAAGAGGGGGAGAAAGTGACAGACTAGGGCGCCCACTGGGATTGTGGGATTTAGGGGGTTAGGTTGAATCCAGAGAGAGAACACATGGAGTGTGGCTTAGGGGTGGGGTTGGTTTGAGGGTACCTGGAAGGAAAGTTGTGTTAGGTTTTGATTGCGACCAAGCCACTTGAAGAGTAGAGGGTTTATTTCATCTTCTACATAAACGGGCAGGAACCTAGAGGCAGGAACGGAAGCAGAGGCCACGGAAGGCAGCTGCTCACCGTTTGCTCCATCCCTTTCTTAAACACCTAAGGAGCACCTACCCAAGAATAGCACTGACCCCAGAGGGCTGGGTCCTCTTCTGTCATGTGGCAATTAAGAAAAAATGTTCCCACAAGCCATCTGATGGAGGCGTTTTCTCAGTTGGGGTTCCTCTTCCCAGAGAACATTAGCTTGTGTCGAGTTGATAAAATCCCACGATAAAGAGGAACATGAAGGTTTAAGGTACCTTTTGGGTAGGTGAGACAGGCTAACGAGTGGGGTTTGGGGGACGGGAGGCCAGACGCAGGGTGGGTCTGCAGCAGGTGGGGTTATGAGATTACTGACTGGGTCTTGGAATTAGGTGCGGTTCAAACTGGAATCAAAGCATAGACCTAGTGGGAACCGCCTGCCCGGGCCAGGAAGCTGTTGGATTCTTGGAGCCGTTCCTCCGCCCCACACGGCATGGTGGCAGAAGGGGCTGGTGGGAGCTGGACACTGAGCTCTTTGGGTTTCCCTGTCCCCTGCAGGCTCCCTGGAACTGGCTATGACTCACCCTGAGTTCTACTGGTATGTGGACGAGGGGCTCTCTGTGGATAATCTGAAGAGCTCCCTCCTGCGCAGTGAGATCCTATTCGGAGCACCGCTTCCCAACTACTACTCGGTGGATGATCGCTGGGAGGAGCAGAGGGCTAAGTTTCAGAGCTTCGTGGTCACGTACGTGGCTATGCTCGCCAAGCAGTCCACGAGGTAGGAAGTCCAGCCACGCACGTCCTGGACCCACGTCACGTCCTGTGTGGCCCCTCTGTGTAGGCAGCATGGTGCCTCTTAAGGCCAAATCTCCTCCCCGCACAGCTGTAACCCCAGGAAGTCTGTCTCCAATGTTGAGCCGAGTTAGGCACATCCTCCGGTCCCTCCGAAAGGCCTCTTTTCTTGATCGGTGCTAATGGTTAGTAGACATGACAGCTTTGAAGGAGGGAGACAGTTCCAAAACTCTTGTCCCAGAGGGATTGAGTATGATTGTCCAGAAAGGAAGCAGTTCCTCTTTACCTCTAATATGCATGGAGTCCGTGGGAGGACTCGCTTCGTTTCTCTGGGCCTGAGTGTCCCTACTTGTAAGATGGGACTTGGTTCCTATTACTGTGGTCATTAAGAAGAGAGAGCAGGGCTGGCGAGGTGGTTTGGTAGTCATGAGCGCCTGCTGCTCTTGTAGAGAGAACCTAGGTTCTCAGTACCAAGTGGCAGCTCACAACTGTCTGTGATTCCAGTTCCAGGGGGCTCCTATGCCCTCTTCTGGCTTCTGCAGGCGCATGGCATGTGCATGGTGTCCACACATCACACAGGCAAAACACTCATACATATAAAATACATGTTTCTCTTAAAGAAGTGAAGAAGAGCTAAGACCTGAGGAGATGGCTCTGTTAGTAATGTGTCTGCCGTGCAGGCATGAAGATCTGAGTTCAGATCCCCTGGACCCACAGAAAACCCAGGTATAATCCCAGTATTAGGAACTGTAGGGTTGCAAGTCCTCTCTCAGATCCATGGAGTTTCCAAGGGGAGTGGGTTGTGTGCAAGTGGAGGCTGAGGAGAAGACTCATTGGGTAAGCTATGACGCGTGCAGGGCTCGGTGGTGAAGGGTGACTGCTGCCCTTCCAGGGGACCTGAGGATCTGATCCCAGCACCCACACCAGGTAGCTCACAGCTGCAGGAGATCTACTGCTCTCTTCTGGCCTCTGTGGTTACTGCAATCGTGTCCACAGACAAAAAACACAAACATACGCATAGAGAAAAAAAAAAAGTAAATTTGGAAAAAAAAAAAAAAGCCAAGGCAGAAATTACCAGGAAGACATTCAAGGTTGATATCTGATCTCTGGTCTCCAAACACACATGTACACACATGTGCACATGTGGGTAGACACACATGCATGTACATGTACACACACACACACACACACGTGCATGCCTGTGCACCATTTAAGAAGCCAGCAAGATGGCTCAATGGAGCCTGTCACCTAGCTTGATAACCTGAATTAAATCACATAAAGTAGGAGAGAACTGATTCCCACAAGTTGTCTTCTGACCTCCACAAGCACACCATAGTATGCACATACAACCTGCCCCCACCGCCCAACACACACACACACACACACACACACACACACACACACTTAAGAAAGATCTGGTTTGGACATGGGCTTGTTTCTGGCTGACTTCTGTAAGCCTTGGTAAAGATTAGTCTAAGGCATGAATGAGTGCACGCACGGACGGACAGACGGACGGATGAATGGATATTATAGTACCTCAAGGAAAGGCACCTGACAGGAGATGACTCTGGGGGGTGCTTCAGAGAGAAACACATAACCTCAGCTGAAATGTTTGGCCACTAAATTCAAGGACTTGCCCTAGGGAAAAAAAGCCAGTCTCCCCTCTTGTTACCCTGCGGCTTCCTAGCAGGAAGTGTCAGCCGCACCCCCTCCCAGGACTTGATTTTAATGCCTTCTTTCCGATTCACCAGATCCTTTTCATTGTTATATTATTGGTGACTCTAGAGAAAAACACACCTTGACTTAACACGGAATTACACAAATTGTCACTTTTACAGCTTCGCTGATCACACCAGGGACTGAGAACACTTGCGTGGCATTTACTGTTCTTCGTCCCCTTGTGGTATGGTTGTGTGCACTTTAATCAAATGCACATTTTAAACCCACAGACCATTCCGTCTTGCAGGTTTTGCTCGTCTCTGTTGATCTGCGTCTTTACCTTTCCTGTTGCCCTTCGTTACTCTCTGTGGCTTCATGCGTCCCTCTGAGACCACTTTCCTCATGTCTGAAGATCTCTCTTTAGTATTCTCTGAGTGCTGGTTTGCTGGTGGTGACTCCCATTTTGTTTGCCTGGGGGAAAAAATCTTTATTTTATTCTCATTTTTCTAACCCACCTCACGTGTGTAGCGTTCCAGATTGGCAGCTGTGTTCATTGACAGTTTGAAAGATGCCGCACCATTGTCACAGGACTTCCATCAGTTTCTGTAGAGAAGTCAGCTGCAGATCTTCCTGGTTGCTCATTTCTCTTATAAAAAAAAAATGTGAATGCATTTGTTTTGTGTGTGTGTGTGTGTGTGTGTGTGTGTGTGTGTATGCATGCCACTGTGTGCCTGTGGAAGTCAGAAGACAACTTGCAAGAATTTGTTCTCTCTCTCTCTCTACACTGTGTGGATTCCAGAACTCCCACTGTCCGTCTTGGCAGCAAGCACCTTTACCCACTGAGCCATTTTGCCTGCCCATTGTTGCTGTCTTCAAATGACTGGGTTTTTTTCCTCTGCTTTTAATTTGTTTATCTTTTAAAGATTAAGTTATTTATTATTTTATGTGTGTGAGTGTTTTTGCTTGTATGCGTTTTTTGGCATTATGTGTGTATGGTGCCCACGGTGGCCAGAAGAGGGCTCAGATCCCTTGCAACTGACTTCACAGACAATAGTAGGCTACTATGTGGGTGCTGGGAACTGAACCCAGGTCCTCCGTAGGAGCAGCAAGTGCTTTTAACCACTGAGCTGTCGCTCCAAGTCCTTTTTCCATGAAATACTCTGTAAATGCTGTATACATTAATATATACACGGCAAATGGCTGCTTTAACGCTCAGCTTTTTTAACTCGAAGAAAAATTATCTAATTCATCAAAATAAGACAGTCATAGATCTTTTCTTCTTGGCTGTTATGTATGAGGTTGGGAAAAATAAAACATTTGGTGAGGTGTGAATGGCACACGTCCAACTGTATATACTTAACATTTTAAAGTTGATTAATCCTGACACATCCACTGTCAAGATCATAAAATCCCAGGATGTTTCCTTATGTCCACTGATAACCAGCTCAGACTGCATCCTGCTTCCCAGCCCCAACCCTAGCCACCACTTTCCAGTGATTTGTTTTGTTTCATTTTATGCATGTGTGTGTTTAAAGGTACCACATGCATGCAGTGCTCTGAGAGGCCAAAGGAGGGCACTAGACCCCCTGGAACTGAAGTTGCAGTCAGCTCTCAGGCGGGTCCTGGGAATGGAACCCAGGTCCTCAGCTAGAGCAGGCTGCACTCTGAGCCATCTCTCCAGACCCACTTTGTGCTTTCTGCCATCCTTTTTTAAGAGCCTTGTATGCAATGTATCTTATAGCGTGTTTCCTTTTGATGGAGCTGGCTCATTTGAATTGTGCCCCTGCTTTATTGCGTATCAACAGTTTATTGTTGAGCACTGAACCGTGTTCATACCGTATTTTACCCATCTGTTCACTCACTGCTGAGCGTTTGCATCGCTTCCAGGTTCAACCTTTACTGATAAAGTTCCAGCAAGTGTTTGCACATAACTTTTTCTGTGAACAAATACTTTGGCCTTAGATTTAAAAAAAAAAAAAAAAAAAAAGCCTCGTAGTAAAAATCACCAGGCCATAATGGTGGGCATTTGTTTAACTTGAGAGACTTGCTGAGTTTTCCAAATTGCTTGTACCATTTTGTGTTCCCGGTGAGGGTGAGAATTCCAGGTCTCCTACATCCCCTCTTAAACTTGATGGGGTGCTCTAGTTTGTTTCTCTGTCACTGTGATAAACGCTAACCCTAACCAACTTGGGGACAGTGACAGTTCATCATGGAAGGAGGCCAAGGACCTGAGGTGGAGACCGAAGCAGGGGCCATGGAGGAACGCAGCTTTCCGGCTCATATTTATACCTCCCAGGACTTCCCAGGGGTGACACTGTCCACACTGGCCCCTATGTTAGTATTCTGTCTAAACTCCACCTCCACAGTTACCTGGCCACAGTCAGGTGTGCCCCTCCCCACAGTTACCTGGCAACAGCCAGGTAGGCCCGCCCACTATAAAAGGGGCTGCTTGCCCCCTCCTCTCTCTCTCTTGATCTCTTGCCTCTAGCTTCCCTCTGTCCCCTCGCCTCTCTCCCTTCCCTTTCCCCTCTCTCCAAGTGGTCATGGCCGGCCCTCCTCTCTCTCTCTCTCTCTCTCTCTCTCTCTCTCTCTCTCTCTCTCTCTCCTTCTCTCTCCCTCTCTCTCCCTCTCTCTCACTTTGTCTATCTATCTATCTATCTATCTATCTATCTATCTATCTATCTATCTATCTATCTCACTCTCTCTTTCTCTCTCTCACTCTCTCTCACTCTCTCTCACTCTCTCTCCCTCTCTCTCCCTCTCTCTCACTCTCTCTCACTCTCTCTTTCTCTCTCTCACTCTCTCTCACTCTCTCTGCCTCTACTACCCTCCTGGCTCCCCTCCCCATGTCTATGCTATACCAGTGTCCCCATGCCCTGAATAAACTCTATTCTATGCTATACTAGTGTGTGACTGGTCCCTCAGGGGGAAGAGATGTCTCGGCATGGGCCGGCTGAGACATCTCCTTCCCCCATACCTCTCTACATACCCACAGAACATACTCTTTATCTCATTATCTTTTTATAAACACATCACCCTCCACTGTAACAACCAAGAAAACACCCAAGGACGTGCCTATAGGTCAGTCTGACGGAGGAATTCCCTCAACTGACATGCCTTCTCTCGGGTGACAGTAGTGTGTCATGTTGCGATGCAGATAGGCAGTGCAGTTTTTAAACTGTTCTTAATTTAGGAAGGATGAATGAATGAATGAATGAATGAATGAATGAATGAATGAGGCTATTCTGATAGGTTGTAGTAGCAATCCTGCTGTCGCCGGTTTGCATTTTTCTAATGAGTAATGACTTGGACATCTGTCCTCATATT